GCTAGAGCGGAACGCAATACCCGTACCTCGGAATGCCGTACGAAACAGGCTGTGCCTAACTGTATATACGTCAACGTCCCCGCTATCTAGCAAGCAGTCCAGTACGTAAGCAGCAATTGATTTCAAACGGCTTGTGACCACGGTGATGCACGTTGCACTAACTGCCATGTAAAGCAAAGTTTCAGAACGCAAGTAAAGCACTATGGGCATTGCACCGAAAGAAAATGGTCGCGAGTACGATACAGTTTGTTGTGCAGTAGGACATTCTGTTAAAACCGCCACGTTGAGCATTGTCTTCTTGCCCTCCGATTTCGTGCATAACGATCGACGCGGAGTCTCTGGAGAGATGCTATTGTTTGCTTGTGTCACAGGGCATCCGAGGCGCTGCGAACCAGGCCCTTGAAACCGCACTGATGATGTTGCCTAGTCAGGCAACGAAACGTCTGCACAATAATCACTCAGCTCGGAGAACCGCTCAAAATCCGCATCGGACTGTAAACACATTTTTCGCATTAATCATGACAGCGCGATGCAACATTTTTTCAAGGACAAATCCTTTCTGTTACTGACCATACTTGTGTGCAACCAATAGAGCAGGGACACGTATGGAGCAGGAAAATTAATCCACTTTGCTCAGTTCTCGAGTTTCATTAAGGCTGGGGATTGCCCACAGCCGTTTGTTCATTTAGCTTGCTTGTGTATTGAATGACATAGGTAGCCTTCTCTGATATTTCAGAAACGCCGCCGATGGCTTTATTGTTCTTGCATCGTCCGGACTACCCAGCTATGGGGTAATCGTAATAAAAGTTAGTCGGAGCGAGGGCGTAAAATCGACAAAGCGTTAGGAGCACAGCCCATGCCGCCGGGCAATTAAGCGGTGCAATTAGACGGTGAAAATGTAGCATATTTATGAAAAAGAATCTGTATTTCAAAAAACTGGTCAATAAAGGGGGGTGGGCAATAAAGCGGGTTCCATTGTATACCACATGTGCCTGTTGGAGAGACAGCAATCCGCAAAGTATGCACTTCCCGAACCGTACGATTCTTCACGGAGGGTCGCGAGCAGATTTAGTGCATCGAGATATTTCGTTCTCACGCCCTATACTCACCAGGTTGACAAGTTGAGCTCATATGTCACAATGATAGGTTAAATATCGCAAGATGGTTGCCTGTATCATTTCCGTGGATCGCACTTCCCAGCTGCGTATTGCAATAATACTTCCATTTCATAGTACATAAACGGATCACCGTTGTATTTGGCACTAGTGCTTGTGGCTTGCACTCTAACAAAATACGAGACTTGGCAAGCACTCTTTTCATTGCCTGTGCTATTATATTATCCCTGTAAGTGTCCCTCTAACTCGAAATGCAACCTCTTCAATCGTGGCACATGCACTAAGACTGTCATATTATTGGCCGTGTGCAGTTATCAGTGTGCATTTTCACTGCTAGGCACTCAAACTGTTCTTCAGTCGGAAGAGTTACTGGGCTGCGGTCATCGCATCTGGGAGCAAGTGATCAACACTGCGCATCGATGTCATCATCATCATCATCATCATCATCATCATCATCATCATCATCATCATCATCATCATCATCATCATCATCATCATCATCATCATCATCATCATCATCATCATCATCATCATCATCATCATCATCATCATCATCATCATCATCATCATCATCATCATCATCATCATCATCATCATCATCATCATCATCATCATCATCATCATCATCATCATCATCATCATCATCATCATCATCATCATCATCATCATCATCATCATCATCATCATCATCATCATCATCATCATCATCATCATCATCATCATCATCATCATCATCATCATCATCATCATCATCATCATCATCATCATCATCATCATCATCATCATCATCATCATCATCATCATCATCATCATCATCATCATCATCATCATCATCATCATCATCATCATCATCATCATCATCATCATCATCATCATCATCATCATCATCATCATCATCATCATCATCATCATCATCATCATCATCATCATCATCATCATCATCATCATCATCATCATCATCATCATCATCATCATCATCATCATCATCATCATCATCATCATCATCATCATCATCATCATCATCATCATCATCATCATCATCATCATCATCATCATCATCATCATCATCATCATCATCATCATCATCATCATCATCATCATCATCATCATCATCATCATCATCATCATCATCATCATCATCATCATCATCATCATCATCATCATCATCATCATCATCATCATCATCATCATCATCATCATCATCATCATCATCATCATCATCATCATCATCATCATCATCATCATCATCATCATCATCATCATCATCATCATCATCATCATCATCATCATCATCATCATCATCATCATCATCATCATCATCATCATCATCATCATCATCATCATCATCATCATCATCATCATCATCATCATCATCATCATCATCA